CCCCGCTCCTGCACCCACCGAAGAAGAAAGAACCCAGAACATTATTTTATTGCAATTCCTTAAATTTCAAACTCAAATTACACGAAATCTACTAGTTTTTTCAAAACAATTCTGCATGAACTTTTATAAAGAGCTTTTTTAACAGACTTTGTTTAAGTAAAAGCCTCTATATTCAATTTTGTAGTTTTTAAATGTAAACTTTCTATTTTCAATTTCAAAAATACCGAGAGTCCTTTGTTACATGCGAGTCGACAACTGAAAGACAAAATTTGGAGCGATTTTTGAGAAAAAAATTGCTTAAAATAATTTTTAAACGCCTGTAGCAAAAAACGCATCTTATTACAGATCGGATCTCATTCAGGAAGAAATCTCGATCTTCAATATTGTAGTTGTGGAAAGACGCCCCTCTGAAAACACTTTTTTACTACTGTATTCTCACCTAAAAAACCATTAGACCTTTCTAGGCTACTGTTTATAATTATCCCTATTATATTACTGGGTTTTGTAAAACCGTTAAAATAAAAACTAATTTGTTATACTTCCTCTAACTCTTTATAAAATCTATTATGCGTTTCACAAATGTGGAACGAAAAACACTCTACCCTTCTTTGTGTTTACTTTCCTGCTTAAAACATACATTCTATATTTTAGTAGAGACTCTAAAAGTTTAAAATCTACACATATATCTACACCAGATCGTATTTGTGTCATAAAATTTCCAGCGAAGTATTCGCAATAATTCTTGGAAACGCAACAGCGCTGGCGAGGCCTCGATCCTTTAATGGAAGCTTTGTGGCAACGCTCGGTCTGGACAGCGTTGGCTCCCCAACATCAAAAGAGCTGACTCGACATATTCTGGAAAGAAATCCGCTGCCTCTAATTAAGCTAATGATGCGGGCGCGCCCTTTATCAGTCCTTGCGAATGGGGATCGTTGTTCTTGAATTCGCTATCGAAAAGGCTCGTGCCTCGCGTGGGGCTGTTTGGACGCCAGGAAGGAATGCTCTGGCTCTAGAACACAAGAATTTTGGGAATTCTCTTATGGTATTGTAGGCATAATTACATGAAGAAATAAGAGAAGTCATCTCTGTCAACTTAATATTAATTGCTGTACAACTCCGCAAACCGTGTTAAGTAGACGGAGATGGCTTCCATTATTTCTTCTTGAATACTTGAGCTTAATCAGAGCTGCAAATTTTCAGACCATATTCCCAATACATAGCAGAATTAAAGTAAAATGCCTGAAAGACAATTAATTGTTTTGCTTACATGTAAAATAATAATTCTTTATGCACCTTAACTGATTACTTTTACTCAAAATTAAATAATGATGACTATGTGGTCATAACTAAAAATACGCAAAATGCAGCAAAGTGTGTTAATAAAAGTTACCTAGAAAATATATAAAATGGATAAATAAAGGATGAATGTTCTTCTTTAAGGATATAAATATTGAGTGTCTTCAAAATTAAAAACTACTGGAGTGAAGAGATTTACAGAATGTCTAAAAGCGCAGATACCGTCTTAAAATTCATGAAGAAGGGCAGATAAAGTTCTTCTGTAAAAAAATTGCCTCCCTGAAAACTGAGTTTATATGTTACTTTCAGTAACGCAATTCAATGCAGCTACCACTTGGTACCAGACACCTACATCTGCAACTGGGTTGAATGTTGCGTAGATTCTCCGCATTTTCATTGAAACAGTCCAGTGAGGAAAACGTTGCTTGCCGCCCACTAAAGAACTTTAATATCATCAAATGCGTTTTGTATTATTGTATTCAATCTATTAAATATATTTAAATGCATTTTTGTTACAATTTACAACTACGATATGAAAGGCCATAAGACTGAACACAAATGAAGATTTATGGAAATTAACGAGACTCCTATTCCTTTATTGGTATACCAGCATTATAAATGACATGTTCAAATAAATAATTTATAATAGGGCATTTTACGGCATTAGCGATGAAGTATTAGTATTTTACGGCGCGAATGCTTAGGTCATCACATATTCAGAAAATCGTAGCGAGAGAATCGTGGGGAAGTAGAGGTGAACGGAACAGCCGACCACAGTTTTCTCGTACAGATGTCAAATATCCAAGATGCCACAAGGGAGTTGTTTCGCAAAATTTAATTTGAATATTTTATACGTTTAGAATGCTCTTATACGAAAATAGCGCATGTAACTCGTTTATTATATTGCTTTATTGCATTCGTACAAATTTGAGAACTTGCTCGCAAAGTGGCTGGTTTTCAAAATTTACACCCATGCAATAAAGCATAACATTGTTAGCTAATTGTATCAACTACATGATCATTACTTATATTCAAAATAGTGCCTTTACAGTCACATACTAGATGCCTTCACATTCTATCATTAATATCAGGAATCATACCACTAACATATTACAAATAAAATGTTTGTTCCTTAAAATTTTACGTTTATATATCACTTCTCGCTTTCGCCAGTCATTTTTTGGTACCGAGGGCTGACCAGTGCTTTGGAGAATCTTTGCAGTAGACACATCTAGTGCTCAGTCAACCAGTCGCACAGGCGACCGCGAGACGATTGCGTCTCCGTACGAGCATTGAGACGACGAATATCACCAGCAACAGGGGCTCAGGGCGTCAACAGATGTTGGTGCTGTCCCTCTGTCTGGAAGGTCCTAGGGATCACGTACCAACCGTGGCAGGCCTTTAGAGAATAGCTGTTGGCTCGGTCAGATTCAGCCGCAGTCTGGAGGATAGTTCTAGTAGCTGGCTGCTCCTATCGGTTATTTTCCCTGGTTTCGCCGATCAACACAAGGTGAATGCCGAAGCAGTAAAGCCTAATCAACGGGCCACGCACCGTGTGAGTTCTTTCCATCTCCTTCCTTGTCCCAGCCTCACCTCACATCACACTACACTACACTTCACTACCACACTTGTCGGGAGACCGTTCAGCTTGTCCCGGCTGTGAGGGAGCTTCGCTGGTGGAATGTAACTGGTGAGGGAAAATCCCCGCGAGCTGGCCCTCTTCAAGAGAAAATGCTTACTATGCAACAAATATAGTACTGGTGTACACTAAGGTGTTATAGAAACGATCAAATATATAATAAAATAATTATGTATATGACATACGGCAGTTTTTCAGTTTTAGTTGAGATGTCTGGACTTGAAAAGTGTCATCTTTGCAATGAACGGCGGCGCAGGCAACGAAAGCGCAGCCTCGCGGTGGAGTCGCTCGCCCTGGGGCTGTCGATGCCGGGAGCGAGCGCTCTCCCGCGAGGGCTCCTGAGGTTCGCCGGCGCAGATCGAGCGCCCATTATCTCGCAGTCGGATTGAAATGGAAGCGAACATTAGGGTTCGCGCAGGGCGCTGGGTGGGAGGGGGACGCTGGGAGGGCCGTGGAGGGTGAAGGCGGGAGCCGGAGGCGGTTGCAGCAGCAGGGGACAAACCGGGCGGGGCGCGGTGCGGAGCTAGTGGGCGTTGGCGAAGCGGGGGCCGTGCATAGAGCGTGGGTGTTGGCGGGACCTAGCAGGGGCGGGGCGAGGCGAGGAGGCGCGGGGCGTCGAGAGGCGGCGCTCGCCGTGTGATTTGATGGCGGCGCCGAGCACCGGACGCGCGCCTTCCTTGATTAGACCCCCGCCCCGCCCCAACGCCGCCCCGGCGCGTGTCAGTGGCCGGCGCCGCCGCAAGGCCGGCCGCCGTCCGCGCTGCTTGTCGCGCCCACGCCTCGCCCAGCCGCCGCCCAGCCCCCCCACGCCTCGCCCAGCCCCGCACGCCTCGCCCAGCGCCGCCCACGCCTCGCCCAGCCCCGCCCACGCCTCGCCCAGCCCCGCCCACGCCCCGCCGCCGCTCGCCGCAGCCGCCTCGCCGCCCGCGCGAGTGCGCTGCAAGCGGCCCAGCTGCCCAATTCGGCCGCGGCGTTTTAATAATGGAGGGCGAGCGCTCCAAACAGACCCCGGCCCTTCCGCTGCAATATGCATGCCCTTGACGCGGCTTGCTCTGTTTGACGGATGGCTGCGGTCAAAAAGGATGAGCGGGAAGCCAACAGATGTCTGAAATGTTAACAAGTGATTAATATTCTCTGGATAATACGAAAGTTGTGGAGTTCTTGCTGAATTTATGGACTTGTCTGTTTTATGACGTTAATTTGGAAGTCTCATTTACGTCCAGAAAAGGGATTTCACTAGAAGCAAAATCTTCCTCCGATACGTCATACGAGTTTATTTGTATTAAAGAATGAGGTATTTGACACATTTACTATGATTTGTTCTAAAGCAATCTTGTCAATTTATTTTCACATCTTTCATAATTCTGTTTACTCGATACCTGCAGCGACTCCGAGAAGACGGGCTACGCACATCAAAAGTCTCAGTTCTTATATACAATGTTTTTTCGGCAGCGCCTGTGCACTTTCACGAGGAGAGTGCACAATCGCCGTGAGTGAGTGAATTTATAAACAATCTGCATCCAAATACCAGATATCTTTGGAAAACAATTAAAAACATTTTAAAAAACAAATGGATATATCACCCTTGCAAAATAAGCGAAGGCATTAGCAGAAAATTTATAAAGTTTCTTCATCCGAAAATCCAGAGAAAACTCCATTCTCAATTCAGAAGTAGAAGACTGAATAAAAATACCATTAGGGACAGAAGTGGCAAATGTCAGTAAACTATTGAACACTAGAAAGACAACAGATTACGACAACTGTACTGAAAAAGTATTAAAGGACATCCTCAAACAACTATTACCATCATAACAGACATTTAATGCATAGTTACGAATGGGACACTCCTTCTTCATGGGAAACTGCTCTTATATTTTCCGTTCTTCAAACGAGAAAAAATCCCCAAATCTCCAAGCAATTAAAGAACCAATCTCCTACTTTCCTCAGTAGCAAAACATTTGAAAACTTGCTTTTAATTGTCTCCAAGTAAATTTCATGAAAATTAATGCAATTCCCATCACCCAGTTCGGTATTATACCTAAACATGCCACAACCCATCAACTACTGCATCGTTTCTAATATATAGTAAACAGTTTTAAATATAAAACACACAGTACCTCTTCTTCGAGAATTTTTCAGTCACTTGATAGAGGTTTGCACAGAATTTTGACGTACGAACTACGAAAAATTGGTAATTCTGAGTATCTGCAAAAAATATTCCAAGTTTTCTCACAGACGGGTATTTTGAAGTATAATATGTACATCACTGATCCAAGTTTCAGTTTTTTCACCAACAACTTTCTATATTTACACAGCAGAATATTCAACACTACATGAAACAAGGATAGTGAGGACGCTGACAATACCGCTATTTTCAGTCCACATACTCATATCAGCTGAAACTATGATTATATGTAATCTTACATTTACATTTGTTCGAATTCGACCAAAAACTGGACAATTAAAATTAATCCCATAAAACCGCAATCAATAATAGTCACGTTTAGACTTTTTGCATTTCCAAGACTTAAGAATAAACAACACCGATTTGTCATTCTTCGCCTGCCAAACACTTAGTCTTACTGAACAAACGGCTAACTTGTAAACTCCACAATTTAATCAATAACCCATCAAACACGTGCAAAAAGCTGACAATTTTATTATCTCGTCAATAGAAATTCCACTCTTCTAATAGTTATTGTCCTTAGACCGATAAACTCCAAATAACAAACGCGGTTGAAGTTTGTAAACCGAAGCTATAGCCGAAGTTTATTACCAACCAAGTCTGTTATTTGTTATGCCGGCTGTGTGTCATTAAGTTTTTTTGTAATACCATCTTCTTATAAGAAAAAATAAAATAAATAAGAAACGCCTTTGCTTTCAATACGAAGGAGTGCAACGCCATCTTCGATTTCAAATCGATTCGATTGTTGCTTCAGATGCAACAGTTACAAGAAGGACAAAATTTTATCATAAGAATATATCAAAACATTTTTACTTGAAGCAAATGGCTACTTAAAATAGTTATTGTCATTTTTGGTATTTTTAGGGTATGTCGACGAGACAAACTTGTTTCATTGACAATTGATACAGAAATCACGAGCAACGGAGTGCTAGTTATACTGATATGCACGAAAACAATAAAATGCAATGTTTGCAATACCCAAAGACGGTCTTGAATTCAATGCATATGATTTGTATAAAAATATGCCAACCTATGCCCATCTCACCTAGAAACAAGATGCTTTTTCGTAGATTATAGAAATGCGAAATGTAAACAAGTTGTAGCTATACACACGATAGGAAACACTCCAAAAAATTTAGTGGAATTTTATAAATTAGACTCTCTTGAGCTGTAAACAGGATATTGTTTTCAACAATCATTGGTCACAATGCTAGTCGTAAACGGTGGCGATCTGCTCTCTTTGAGAGAACTTGGAAGTTGGTAGTCCTCGTCAGTAGTAGAAAAAAATATTCAACAATCGGTATACAAATGAATTAAAATTTATAACGGCTATTCAGCACTAAAGAGGTTCTATCAAAATCAAGAGGTTTAAGCACGTCGACGTCAGCGCCTTCGACCTTCTATTCAAACCAAATATTAGCAATAATAATTGTTCATTCAGTATTCAATGTCACAATAATGAGTAATTATGTTATAAATAAAGATACAACAAATGAAAATTACTTTTGGAGGAGCAATTTGTGCTGTTCGTGAGTGTGTTACTTTTGTTGTTTGTTATGCGTTTTCGAAGTTTTATGCATAGTTTTAATATTATTTGTCTCCTTAAAAGTCGGGCGGCGGTCATTAAGATTATCTTTTAATTCCTCTGTAGAGTTGCGTTATGTAGATATATTAACAGATAGTATTACGAAAAAAAAATCGTCGCAGACAATTGATCCCGATTAATTTCCCGCCTTATTGGACGCTCTGTTGTAATGCAATGCATTATGGGCTATAAAGTGAATCTCACGCCAAACGTTAGCTATTGACGTGGCCCCGAAACCCGTCTGCGAGGTACAGTGCAGCCATCGTGCTGAATGGAGGTCGCAGCCGAGACCTCAGATGTCGCCAACCGGGGCGCGCCGGCCGCTTCCGGGGGGGGGGAGTGAGAGGGGGTGACTCGCAGCAACAGCTGAGGGCCGGATCGAGGCAGCGGGGCCGCGGTGGGCTGGACGGGGTGGCTGCGGCCGCGAGCGCAGCGGAAGGCGTTGGCCCGAGTGTGCGGCGCGAGTGCAAAGCAACGCCGAAGGACTCGTGCTCCCGCAGCAAGTTTTTTCTTTTGTATTTATTCTCCTAACTATTTTTTGTAATGCTGAAATTTATTTTAAAAAATACTCCACCGTGAATGGTTGTTACGATGGGGCTGTGTACTTATAAATTGAGTACGTTTTTTGGTGTTCGAAGTATCCCTTGGTTCTTAAGTTCAAATACTTAATCTTGGGTAAAAAATCACCGGTAATACGGCGAGTGCTTTGGAACTTGGCGAAAAATACCCGAAACACGAAGCGAGGAGGGTATTTATCTGATTTAAGCACCAGTGATTTTTAATACGACTATTCCATGAATTAAATTATGTTCAACAGATTTCCAAAATGCACCGAATATTGAAAATATGTTAAAATCAAGGAGGTTATGTCATAGTGCATTCGCTGTTTATTGGACATCGACATACCGATAGCTTTATAACTCCTCTTAAGACTGACGAGTCACAGTTTATGATTGACCAGTGGAGAGCGGTCGTATTAAAAATGGGATAAAAAAGCAGAAAACGTTTTGAGATACAAAATTGCCCAATCAGAGCGGCATAGTATAGTTAAAAATTGGTTTTAATTTCACGAGTGAAATAGTCATGTTAAATTCTCTTGATGAGGCCGGTTAACCGGAGTTTTTAAGTTGGGTAATTTCACTTTTATAACCTCTCGAATTTCATGCGTGTTTTCTACATACTCATTTGCAAAATACTCGTTGTGACGTCTTTGTTTTCCTCGAAAATCAAAGAGGCTAGTTTTACAGGTCATGAAAGGTCAACTGATTCCTTTATTTAAAAAGGCAAAGTTTCACCACCGGCGATCGCTGGGCAGCGCTAGATTTCAAACTCAACGAGCGAGTCTTGGACGACGAACGAAGTGTCGGGGCGTTGTCGCGTGTGGCTGTGCGCCCGTCAGATTAAAACGTTTAATTTACAATATTTTACGTAACAAGGGCACCAGACAGGTAATTTACGCAAGAGCCAAGTTTGTCATCTGATCATAGCGAGAAAAATTAAATACCAAATAACTAGAACTACCTTCCTTGTACAAAAGTAAATGATTTCCAGTGCCGTAACACTATTATTTGTAAATAATAAGCAAATGCGTTGTCCAGACGAAAGACACTTTCGAATCGTTACAGATGTTTCGCACGCTCTGGAAAAGTAGCTGTTTTACACACGGAAAGCAGGAGAAACCGCGTTTCGCGTACGGCGAGTTAAAAATAATATTTTTGCACATTTTCCGAGTGCTTTCGTCCAGGTCTTGTGTCCAACTCTCTTGGAGCAATGTCAGTTTATTCAGGAAATAAATACAGAAATAATTTAAGAGGCACTGAAAAGACTTCACTGCTTCGTATTTCTTGCTAAGCTACCACGTCGACAAAGCTTCGCGCTTACGTCAACACGATAACGTGCGAGGCTACCGTGCGTAAACATTCGTGAATGTTGCATTCCTCAATACCTCTGAAAAAATATTTGAAGTGATTGCTACGACCTAAAAACTCGCAACAGCGCCTAACGGTGCAGCACTGTGATATTCGAAGTTCTTAAATCTATGTAGGCATAAAGCCCGAAGAACAGTCTGTTAAAACAGGCGATTTTGGGAGGGGAATTTTTTTTTATTCAAAATGTTTTGGTCGAATGTGTCACATTACAGATCATGTAGAATGGCGCTGAAACTAATGTCGTATGAGGCGCTCCTCGCTCATACAAAGACGTAATAGAACGTTCCTTAATGAATGTAGTCAATGTAACTCATCAATGTTAATTGGTATACTTTAGTTCTTAAGTACACTGATTGTAAACGCAAAATGCATGCACCGTACATTATATATTATAATGGGAGATGCTA